CTGCTGTTGAGGATGAAAAGAAAAAAATTCTTAATATTACTGAGACAGCAGTAATGCTTAGTGCAGGATCAAGGAATGAGACCAGCTTCCTGATTCCGGTGAATCAGGAATCGGTGAAGTCCTAACTTGAGCTGGAGTTTGAACTTCACAATGTTTAGTATATGTGGCTAAATTTCATAAAGTACAAAATGGAACTAAGCTTAGGCTACAAGGCAGCTCTTAGTTTAGTTCATGTAGTTCTTGGGAAGTGATTGCATTTCAGATATAGTAAAGTAAAGGGGTTTTAGAAGAAAGGCATTGCATATATAGTTGCTTAATTACTCTGCAGTGAGTGTTGCTGAAGGAATAAAGGAATCCTCTGAAATCTCACTGGAAAATCAGAATAAGGCTAGTTGGACATGTTTTGACCAGCAGTTGGTCCCAAAGGTCTTTCAGAACCAAGACAGTGTTACATGATGCCTTAGTCAATCAGGCTCTAGGGCTTTAAACTAATTGCAATTTTGGAAGTTGTCAAAAAGGGTTGTCAAATAGGTGACTGTGGAGAAGATCTTTGATTTATAGAAGGAATTAGATCATGAAAAAGGCTGTAGGATGCTGTTAATTCTGCTGTGTCAAGCATATGAAGTCTTAGAAGACTATGGGGAGGTAAACTGATTTTTCTGGAGTGTTCTGATTCAACAGAGAAAAATGCTTTCTGGAGAAAGGGCAGAAGGCTGCTTCTATATTGTTTTTCCTGGAAGTAGCATAATAAACACACCTGTGTAAATAATGAGCTTTGCTAAAGCTCTCTCTAATTACAGGTGATTCCCTGAAGACACCCACTGAGGAAGGTGGCTTCTGCCCTATCCTCAAAAGAAGCACTTCTTGCAGAGTGGCTTCTTTCTTTTAAAGACAGCAGTGAAGTGGTCTTCTTGTACTTCTTCAGGAAACTTGTAGTATGTTGTGTCCCCTTTTAGAGCAGATCATCTCATTTGGGTCATCTTCTGAGATGAGTTTGCTCTACTGGTCATGGGATAATTGGGAGTAGTCTGTGTCTTCCAAGTCCTGGTTGTTCTTAAGTACTGAAAGAATGTAAAGCTTTGGGTTTGAGACTTTCAGATACGTCAATTAATTTTGAAATGAACAATACTTTGCTTTCTTTCAGTATGGAGCATAGTTTAGAACTCTTGGCTAGATTAAAGACTAGCAGTGAACTTGCCTGGTCCCAGTTTGCCAGAAGCCGTGCTTAATCAAACAGTAGCACATTGCCCAACCAAAGAGACTGGGCTCTTTAGGGACACGTGAGTGAGTGACACCTGAACAGAGCGTAATTGCTGCAACTGAGACTGCTCCTAAGGGCTGATCTAACTTGGCTGTGTGCCCCACACATCATCAGACACCTTGGTTAAGTGAGGAGATGGATCCCTTTGGAGGAGTTTGCTGAGAAAAGAAACACACAATACAAGAAGCTGCTATTTAAAATACTTAGAAAGTACTGGGAAACAGAGTGGCACCACCAGAAAACCTTCCAAGGAGACAGGACATCGTGGCTGGATGGGTCACAGGCTTATTTTCAGCATGAAGTGGGATTTCCTTCTTCTGCACTTGTCTTAGCCTGAGGGATCAGCACATAACCCTTGGGTGGTTGCTTCCTAGGCAGAGGCTCTATGGTGAAATTTTGTTATAGGAAATCTGGGATAAGTCCTTGTGTGATCTCAGTTACATGAGTGCTATATCTCAGTTTTAGCTCTAACACTCCTAGGACAGAATTGCTACTGATGTGACGAATACTCAGCCCTTTCTTCCTGCAGGCTAAGATTTATTTCTAGTATCTTTGTCTTGCAAAATTCTCCTTCTTACTTTCTGAAATCATGGTGACTTACCGGGCAACACTGCTTTAAAAGCTACCTGGTTTCTTTTCTTCACAGTGCAAGCCTCCTCTGAAAGTGAAAGACTTGTTTATTGACATACAAGATGGCAAAATCTTGATGGCACTACTGGAAGTCCTGTCAGGACAAAAGCTGGTATGTATACAAGAGGGCCAAACCTCCACAGGTATGGAACTTTGTATGTTATGAGCAACAATGCACAGATATCCAAAGAATAAGGGAGAATTTGGTCCCATGTCTTGGATATACTAATAAGCATTCTAGCAATTTAATTGTGATTTGATAATGTTACAGGCTGGTGTCTTGATTTGTAACTTAGATTTCACAGAAATACACAACAACGAGGTGTAAAAGGCGTACAATCAATGTAAATGTCCCTACCCCTCAGGTTTTTTAAGGCTTCAATACATTAATGCTCACATATTCTGTTCGTTGATCACTCAAGTGACATTATCAAAAAAAGATATATTTGCTGTACTATTGTTTAAATCCATAACTTCTCTTTCTGTTTTGTCTAAGACCATTATGATAGTTAATTGGTCTGCTGTTTGGTGTAGTTGTGAGTTTAGTTCTCACATCCTGGCTCAGGCTTCATTAGTCATACTGATATGGTCAAAATCAGAAGGGCAAAACTTCACTTATCAGAATTTTCTCTCCTTACTTTGTAAGAGCTGTATAAAGTTCCCCATAATGGAAATGGAAACACCCACTGCAAATATAAATTACCAATTACAGTTGACTTTTATGTTTTATTTCTACATCAGTCTCATCAGAAAGGACCCTCCTTTGTGTGGGTAGCACACTTGGATAAGAGGAGAGGCCTGGTCTGCAGCCATCTCACCACTGCACATGCACTTGCAGTCACCTGGTGATCCTCTAGTGACTGAAACATCTGAATGCTGCAGCATGAATGGCCACTATGGTCACACATTCAGAACTGCCTGGTTTTTAATATTCTCGAAGCTTTGGGGAGCCATAGCTGAAGCAGCGGGGTCTCTGTGTGCATTCAAACAGATTGCACTGAAAGCCAGGCTGGAAATGATCCCTGGGCTATGCCCCAGGAGATCAGGGAGAAGGGCAAGGAAGGCTGTAAGGTCAGCTGGCCAAACTTCTTGTGCTGGCAGTTAGGTGTGCCTGCACTTGTGATAAAAACAGTGGTGGAATTGCAGGGAAACAATCATGCAGCCAGTCTTTAATTTTTGCCAAAATGAAGGCTTCTACTTCCTATCTGCCTGTACCTGCCATGAAAACTGCTCACACTTTCAAATTACAATAATTTAATTTAATTCCAGAAAAATAAAATCTATTATTATTAATTTTCAGGTAGATTTGAATCTGTGACTGAACATGGCTAGGGAGTGTTTACATAAATAATCAGCATGGCAGATCCAAAACAGTGATAACATCTGTAGAGCAGGAAAGCTGGTTGCTAACCCTGTTTTGCTACAGTAAGGACAGATCATGTAGTTGAAGCACTTGACTGATCTGAAAACATGTTGATAATTTTATATAGATAAATTTTCTTAGCTTTATTCTGCCTGTGTGCTTGTTGTTTTTTTAAGCTTTGCATCTATTGGTGAATAATTACACAATTTCTAAAAGCATTGTGCTCTTACTTCTTCTAGATGCACGAGTACAAATCTTCAACCCATCGCATTTTTCGTTTGAACAACATAGCCAAAGCCCTGAAGTTCTTGGAGGACAGTAATGTGAGTATTTTCAAAGGTGTTAGTATCTTCTCTTGATGTATATTTCAAATTGTAACTGCTGTAACTGTCACTCCTCTGATGTGCTGCATGTACATGAGAGGACTGTACAGCTTAAAGGCACTGTGGCTTAGCTTAGCAGCAAGGCTGAAAAGGGACATAAAAATGCTTAAGAAGAACACCTACAGAGTCTAAAACAAGGATTACTTGTTCATTTTATAATGTAAAAGTTGAACAGGATTAAAGGATAAGGAACCCAATATTAAAAGAAAACAAAAAGAAATGCAAGTAATCTTTATGAACAGGGTCTTAGTGGCATTACTTCAGTCACACTGAAGGTAGGTGACTTTCCTTCCTTTCATCAGAAATAGATTCAATATTACAAATAATGTATTTATCTGGTAAACTGCTGCATCAGCTGACCGTAAGTCAAAGGCAAGAGAAAATTAAATCTGGGAACATGACATAAATGCATAATTCCAGGAGTCAAAAACTTGTAAAGATACAACTCACAGTCAGTGTAGCACTACTGCAACATAACTTCCTACAGTTTTAAGTGCCCAAGCAAGATCAGACCCTATAGCTTGAAATGATTCACTCCTTTTTTTATTTCTCTCCTTAGGGCTTTATTTCAAAGCCCCATGAATGTCCAATCATTTCTTGAAAACTCTCTGCACTTGGAAAGTGTTGAGAAGTGGTGTTAAGAGAAGTCCAGGCTTCACAAGTCATATATATATGTGGTATACCCAGATCTTTCAGAAAGAGAAAACCAATATAAGACTAAGTACTTTTCTATGGATATCTTGTTTTCTTGAAGAGTAAGCAGCCAGTACCTTAGCCAGATATCTCTGCTGAGCTGAGTGGTGAACATAAGCAGCAGCAAGAGGACAGAGTTGACACTGAGAGCAAGTCTAATGATAAAAGCTACTTGCTCCCCATTTTGGAGAAACTGCTATTCAAATATACTAGGTCTTAAAAGTTTTCCCATGGCAAATACCTTGGAGCTAGCAAGAAATCTGAGCCTTCAAATATGACAGCTAGAGGTGTCATCTTGCTAAGATTGAAAACTGTTGTGTGAACCACTAGATAAAAAGGTTTTTTACTTTCCTTTTTCAGTTTAACCAAACCGGTTAGAGAGGGTGGTGATGAAATTATTGGCAAAATGCCTTGGCTGCCAAGAGCTTCAGGGTTAGATATTAAACCACAATGGGTGGAACCCATCAATGTACGCTTCTGTGGAGCCAGGGCAGCAGGTTAAAGCTCTGCTAAGTGATTCATCATGTACAGGATTTCTCAGTGATAAATGGGCTGTATGCTGGGCTTTCACTCAGCCTGGGTGCCATGTGCTGTACTGACAGCTTCCTTGCTTCCCCCCTCCTCCGTGACCTTTGCCAAAACCAAGTCTGTGTTGTCTCAAGAGAATAACATCCTGGTGTTATCAAGTGGAAGAAACCACAGTGTGGAAAAGTCTAGAGCTTGCTTGAGTTAGGCAACACTATCCTTTGCTAACTGATGCAATTAGAACTCTGTGACAAGCTGTGTAAGCTGAGATAAGCCAGGAGAAAGCAGAGTGATAGCAAAACAGAAGTAAGGAGATGTTATTAGGGTTCTAATTTTTGTACAATTATAGACTCTTTACCTTTAAAGAATAGGATCCACTAGAGGGAGCACCATCTTGTTCCATTTTTGTATGGAGAAAACATTTGTGGTCGTGAGGATGCAGAACTGGGCTCAATTCTGTTCTGCATACTATGCTTTGGGTTTGAGATAAGAGTTCCAAGACCAGTGTGTTTGTGATTAGGGCAGATTATCATCAACACAAGATTTCAGTCTTGCTTTTTGGCTGGTCAATCTGTGGCAGAAGTGTTCTGAACATATCCAGTAATCTCAGTTCAAGCCAGCGCATTTTTTGCAATTACCTTGCTTCTTTGAATTCAGCTTTGAATTTATGATCTCTTCTACAGGTAAAGCTTGTTAGCATTGATGCAGCAGAAATAGCAGATGGAAATTCCTCTCTGGTACTTGGACTAATATGGAATATAATCTTGTTTTTTCAGGTAATAAAACTTGAGTACTTTAATCATAAGTGAACAATCTTCAGGGTATCAATCTATTCCAGCTGAATACTGTTTTAATCCTAAATAACATCATTAAGTATGCTAAACCTGAGCTTTTCCCTCTTAGTGGACACTAATTTTATACCTGCAGCTGCTTTCATTTTACTTCATTGGACCTATTTTGGTGTAAATAGGAGACAATTTAATCCCTTGTTTGACTTGGACCAGAATGAGAGCTTCAGATTGCTACTTCCCCTTCTCCCCTGTGCCTTCTCAGAGTTCTGGTCCAGATTCCCTGGATCTGAACCAACATCTCAGATTTGGTTCCAGGTCACAGTTTATTTTCAATAGCCTTTTCTGGATTTGGTCCACTGTGGTGGGAGATCCCATGTAGAATCACTGATCTCCACAGACTTAACTCCACATGGCAGAAATTCCCAACTGATGTAGAGGGCCAAATTAAATATCTTGAAGGGCCTGGAAGTGATAAAACTGATTTGAGCATGAAAATTGACTTAGCCCCAGGCTTAGTTTAAAGCTGCTCCCTAATCTAAACATACTTTGAAAATATCCTTCCAGACAATGAACAGAGAGAGATGGAGGGAGTCTGCAACTCCAATAAAACTGTGAGGCTCTTTCATCCTCTTGAGCTAATTTCTAAACTGGCTACACATTTTTAAAATAATCTCTGTCTGGAAGTTGCACTGGGGTTTGTCTTCCTGGCTGAGCTCCTCAAGCTGAGGAGTGGTGCACAGCACCAGCACAGCCAGACGGCCTTGAAGGCAGAGATGGTGTGACCAGGATCTGTCACCCCAGCAGCAGAGGGCATGGGGGACCTAAAAGCAGCAGTTTGGATAATTTGGACTCAAATATCCATGCTGACCAGGACAGGAGTGCTGCTGCAGGCCACCATTTCTCCAGTAAAAATATTTCACTCAGGTGAGTCCTGGGAAGACAAAGAACAATTTAAGTTAAACTAGCTTTTCTTTCAAGGACATATTTCTTTGCCTTTTGTTTAATAGGAGTTTGCCCCATTCAGCTGTTAAGTGCTACCTTGCCCTTCTGTGTCCTGGGGTTGCCAGCTGGGCTGGTGCTGGCTATCATGCCTGTGCAACACAAGTCATGAGTTATAATGGACAGGTCTATAATTACATCCTAAAACTCAAGTTATGGCACTGTTATCTTTCAAGTTTGCGTGAAAAAGCAGTACCAAGTTCTCCACGCAGCCAGTTTTAAACCAGAGCACTGTGTGTTTTGCCTTTTATAACAGATTAAGGAGCTGACAGGTAATCTCAACAGGAACTCCTCCTCCTCCAGCCTGTCTTCTGGGCCCAGTGGTCCTGAGTCAGACACATCCCATCCCAGCACCCCCAGCGTGGAGAGAAACATGCCTGTTACAGTGAAGGACCAGCGGAAAGCCATCAGAGCCCTTTTAATCTGGGTTCAGAGGAAAACCAGAAAGTAAGCTAACAAACCTTTGTGGAAAAATGTGTTTTGCCACCTGCCATTTTGAAGCTGAAACTCTTTTTTTCTCTCTACCGCCTCACCTGTGCATTGCTATGCACTGTGGTTTGTTCTGCTTTTGAAGTTTGCAAGGCACAAGGTCTCTGCAGGAGAGTGTATCATTATGACCACGTGTCTATAGCAGCCCTCTGACCTTGAAGCCATGTGCATTCCTGTGGAGTGTTAAACGTTAACTTGCACTGACCTGCTTGGCGCTGTTTAAAACAGGATCATTCCCTCTTGCCCCTACCCGCTGGCTTTCATGCTGCCTATTTGTTATCTTTTGCTAATTAAAGGGTAGGCATAAACAAGGGGTGAACTAGAAAAATAAATTTATTGTAAGACTTTACCAACAGCCTTTTAAATTAAGCAACAGCCCTGAGGGAGCTTCTCTGTGTGCTGCAGAGGGACTTGAAGGACAGAGACGCTATTAAGAGTCCCTTTTTCCTCAGAATTAAAGAGGGGAAGGGGGTAAATTGTAGGTTGCTTCTTGTGAACGTGTAACATTTGGGTCCGTTTCCGTTGCTCAACACATCTCTCTCCTCTTTAATAAAAAAGCAGTTCTTTCATGAAGACATTTTGTCTAATAATTCTTTAACCTGGCACACTTGCTGATGGGTTAAAAAACTTTAGTGTAAGTTGTGCACATATAAATGTTGGAGTGCATTTTACATTTATTGTTATCTGAAGCAATCACTGCTAGAAAGTTTTAAAGAGGGTTAAACTTAGTTGTACAAGTTGGATAGCTGAATATTTGGCATTTTCATGTCTGTATGTATTTATATGTTTGAATCTGCCTATGAACACAAATGTTCTGTGTTTAGTGATGAAGATAAAAATTTCTGTCTTAAATAGTTGGTCCTGTGGGCCACATCATCCCTTGGTTATCTCCAGTGAAGCTTAGGGTGTGTCTTGTGCAGATAAACTTGTCCCATTGAAATCTGTAGTTCTCTGCTGCAAGTTCAGACCATAAAGGAAAAGCAGTTTTAGTCCTGAAATAATGCTGACAGTGTCATTAACAGGGAGGCAGTTCAAGGAAAGTGAGGACCAGAGAAATAAAGGCCATGGACATTTCAGTCAAGTCAAAGGATACAAATTGAAAACCTCTAATGGAAGAAAATGGTGTTTGGAACTGCAATGTTAAAAACATAATAGTGTTGTTATAATCCTGCTGTCCAATGACCTGTGCAGAATTTTTTATTCTGGGGCTGTATTTCTTTGCTAGTTTGAGCATTGTTTTCTCCTCCAAAACTTTGACCATCTAACACACTTGTGGTTTATACATACACTGACACCATTTGCATTTAGCAAAGCACAGTTTTCTGCTATAGAAGGCCAAGTATCCAGGAATGTGAATAATTTATGCTTATGTTTTTTAATCCTTAAGTTTTGGCAGTCTTCCCGAGCTGTGGCATTAAAATGCTGGAGAGCAACAGAAAAAGGAATCACAGAGACATTTGGTTTTGTGAATGTTAAATGTGGTTGCTGAGTTCTTGAGGGCTTTGTTTTTACTAACTACTTCCTACAAGCAGGTTGATGTCAGCTGTTACCCACATCAATCCAGTTTGTGAATCCTTGTGTTTTATGTGGATGTATTTTGTGAGTTTCAAAATCCAAAAGGATCTCAAGCGTAATTAGTGAAACTCAGCAGCCTTACTTTTAACTTTCAGGAGTCTTTGGAAATGAGTATGTCTTCCTTTAGTTTGGATTTTGTTACAGAACCACCCATGTAAACCCTGTGTAATTCTGTTTAGGTATGGTGTTGCAGTTCAGGACTTTACCAGCAGTTGGAGGAGTGGCCTTGCTTTCTTAGCTATCATAAAAGCAATAGACTCTACTTTGGTGGACATAAAAAAAGCACTGGAAAAGTCAGCTCAAGAAAACCTGGAGGATGCTTTCAGCATAGCTCAAAATAAGCTGGGTGTTCCTCGGCTCCTAGAACCTGAAGGTAAAATGCCTACATCAGCTTTGTTGGGTAACATTCAAACTATATTGAATACATGAATATTGCACTGCATTACCTACCAAAAAGCCTCCCAGTAACTAGACTGTTGATGGGATTGGTGTGTTGGGCTGATGGATAAGACAAAAACTAATTGGTCACTGGCTTATAGTCATACTCTTCCAGCTGTATTTGTAAGCTCCTTGGGTGAAATCTTAATGTAGTTTTAGCTATGTACACTGGTCCTGGTTAATATTTAGGTGCTATGTGACATCTGCATTATTAATGGGCATTAATCGCCACCCTGTTGTGCTGAGGGGCATTTCAATGCATTAGCACCATTTCATAATGCCCAGTCTGCAGAGACTTAAATACCACTCCAGGATGAAGTGTGTGAGTCTGCCACTCAAGCAAAATGGGTGCATACCTATACAAATATATTTGCATCTCCCAGTTTTTCCTTTACAATGCATATATATACATAAATATATTTATATATGTAAACATAAGCATATATTTGTGTATAAATATATGTATATAAATGGAGTTGCTTCTTGCAGTCTTTCTTACTCAACTCTACTAGACAAGCATTAGGCCTTGATTTTGTGATTAAAAGCACAGATTGGTTATTTGCACTTTCATGGGTCACCTGTTAGAAGCATGGGCCATCCTGCTAAAAATAAACCTCTGTGCAGTCACTCAACAAGATCACTGTCTAATGACAGCAAGAAGGTGGATGGAAAGAAACCCTGATCAGGGTTCAGTATGTGTTTTGAAATAGGAAAAAAAATCTGAATAAAATGTTGAGAACTCTTTCGAGTACCATCAACAGTGAAAAGGATTCCACCCTCTCTGATCTGTCAGAAAAACAGAAGCATTTGTAGCTGTTCTTTCTCTCATTGTAAACACGGGTTAAATGTCTGACAGTCTGTTCCTCTGCAAGACCATTTTAAAGCCTTGTGTTCTCAAGTCTCTTGTGTCTGTCTCCATAGATATCATGGTGGAATCACCCGATGAACAGTCAATTGTGACATATGTGGCACAATTTCTGGAACACTTCCCAGAGCTGGAAGGGGTATGTGTTTACTCCTATGTCACATAATTTTTTATAAATATTTTTTAGTGTGCTTGACAAACTTAGATATTGCTGTATTTTTCTCCCAGGTTTCCTTCTAAACTATTTAAAATAAACCACACACCCAGTTCTAATTTTTCACATTTTGTTAAATCCAGTAAAATGTGCTTTCGTTGGTGATTGCTAGAATGCTTCAGGTAGAATTGTGCTGTTAAACATTTACATCCAATAACAACTTTCAGACACTAGATCTGGTTACACAGGGCTCTACTACTTTGCTGTAAAACTCACAGAATAAGGCTGAAATTTATCCCTTCATCTATGATGATTCACTGGACTTTGATTGTAATTTTGACTTCTGTCTTCTCAAGTTTGAGGGGCACAATCAATGTGGGTTTAGCAGGTGTCACACAAGATACCAGAAGCTGAGTCTTGCCAGTGCAGCAGTCGAAAGCACTCACTGTAAGCATGAAATAACCTGCACCTAAAGGATCACAAATTTAATGCAGACTTTATAAAAAAAATTAAGAATCGAGCAGTAAGTCAGGGACTGACAAAGGTCTTTTGGAGAAACAGAAGATAAACATAGAGGAATTAAAGGATAGGAGCCAGAAAACTGAAGAAAAAATAGGAAGTCCCAGGAACTGGAGAAGACATCTGCATAAGCTGAAAAACTGTTCTGGAGGCTGCTTGTACCAGACAAACCTAGTTCAACATAGTATTTTTGGTTTTAAAGGGTTCTCAAGGGTCCCTTGAAGTTCCTCAGTGTCTCTTGAGTAGCTGGGTAGATTTTTCACTACAGTACATGCACATAAATGATGGTTCCTACACAAAAGGGATTTCCTCTCATTTCTTGACTGAATGTTCCAGTTGGTGTGTATTTTGTGGCTTATGAAGTTGGTGGGCATTACTAAAGACACTGGAATTAAAATTATCTTAATCAAATCATATTAGATTAGATGAGCATTAAGATTTGTTGGTGTTCTGACTTGAAGGCATTTTAATGGACAAAGAAAAAGCCTACTTTAAGAAAAATACCGTCTGTTGGAGTGGACCAATCTGGTATATTAATACATTTCACAATGGATATAGTGGACTTGTTAGATTTATTTTATTCCCAGGCTTTGGGATTGTGTCAAAAAGCCAAGTCAGTTGTCTCCAGAGGTGCAGAAGGGAGAGATGAATACATTAACAACTGAGGAGTCAGCTTGTCTGCATTTTGATCTTCTTGTACATGTGGCTTCTTGATATTGAGCTTTATTCAAGTCACTTGACTTGCCAGATTGGTTTCCCTACTTTCAAAATAAGTGAGTCATTAATTGGCCATTCAAAAGGTAATGGGCTACATAGTTATTCTTTCTGTGATGTTTAGGAAAAGGAAAATGGTATCTGAGGTATGATTTGTCTTTTAATGGTCTATCATTACTTATAGGAAGATTTTACAGATCCTGAGAAGGAGCTTCCAATAGAATTGACATATGTTCACATCAAAGACTCACCCTCAGAAAAGGAAGGCAAAATCTTGATTTTAAGTGAAAGTCAAGAAAACATGTATATGGTTAATCATGAAAGGAGTCATCCTGCACCTCCAAAGGTTCATATCCATGACACGCCTGAGAGAATCCTATCAGAAACCACTCCTGAAAAATGTAATGGGAAATTCAGTCAAGTCTTAGGTGATTTACAGGAAACATCTGAAGAGGAACTTCAGAGGCCCACCTCACTGAAAATTACAGGCTCTGTCAGTTTTGAATCCAATTCCTCTTGGGAAGTTCTAAGTGATAAATTGATACCAGGTGAAGGGGGCATAACTGACCCACTGAAACAGAACAATGACTCTTCTCCAGCTATTCCAACACATCAGAAAAATTATACTGACTCTTTTGAAGACTACTCTGAAGAATTAACTAAAGAAACCTCTACTGAATATGACAATGAAACTAAGAGCCTTTCAGCCAATACTTCTTCTTTGAGTCCATTATCCTGGACTTCAGGTATACTTACAGATGAATCTATAAGTAAAGTAGAAGAGAGCAAACCCCATGCTTCAAGTATTTTACCGGAAGGTACCTCAAAACAAGAAGATACACATAAGTATGTTCTTCAACTTCTAAATGAGGAAATACTGAAGATTCCACAAAATGAACATACAAAGCAATCACCTGTCTTTGAGACAATAGAAAATAACCATTGTTCACTGAATGGTTCTAATCTCAAAAGTGAAGAACAGTCTACAACGCATGAAATATCTGATGACTCTCTTTCAGATATATCTAAAAATCCCGAGGATGTGGACAGCTGTGATGAAGTTGACTCTTCAGCTGAAGTGCTACGCAGTTCTTCAAAAGTATCTGTAATACCCCATAATCTCTTTTATTATCCACATTACAATGTTCCCATATCAGCAGTTTTGGATGCTTACCTTGATCCTTATATTGAAGGGTATGATACTGGAAATGACAAAGCTTCTTCTCAAACAGTAACGGAAATTTTACATGAGAAGAACTTACCAAAACAGAACTACCAGGAAGATGCTTCAGAGCCAGACTTAGGGAATAAGCCTGGTGTCCCCCCATCAGAAGTTAATACTGAGAATGGCAAGGAGGAAACAACGGATACTAACAGCCACATTAATTCTTCTGATGAAGAAATGCCATTACTAGTAGAAGAAGAGTTAGAAATCAAAAGAGATAGCAAAAAGGCCACCAACCATCAAGATTCCACTATTTCACAACATCCTGAGGTATTTGAATTTACTACTAGCATTTCTTTGTGTATATATGAAGGATTAGCATCTGACCTCAATGGTTTTCATTTGCTTTCATTTTGCAATGCTTTGGAGAAATAGATAAATTGTACTCGTTTTCCTGTCCCATAACGCTGTTTGCCTTAGCCCCCTACTGGAATGAATGGTATTGCAGACCCCTGAGGAGATCTGACATTAAAAGAGAGAGGAAGCCCTAATACTACTACTACTGCAAAAATGTGGTTTTTTTTAAATTACATTTTAAAGTAGCTTGAGTCTCCTGTAGGCATAAAAGTTTATCACAGAGGGTATTTTAATAACTTGTAATGAGACAAACAGAAAACAGTATTGCTGATATAGAAATGATTCAGGCAAAGGTAATTTTTGTCTGGATCCAATTAAGTTTGCTTTCCAAAACTTAAACCAATTTGAGTAGGGTAAGTTATGTGGGTAAAATGAAGACTTGCCTACACTGGAGGAGGAGAAAGAGAGGGATTTTTGGTACTTATTCTGTGTATTGGATTTGGACAATTTGCTATTGCCCTTCTTGCAGACACTGATTTTGAATTGTCTTACACATTTCTAGAGCAGTAATTTTAGACAGAGTTTTTCAGGAATGAGTGTCAATTTAATGTTAATCCACATGTTGCTTAGACAAGTTGCTTGGACATGCTTTGGTCTGGACAGTTACTGTAGTAATGAATTCAATTTGCTCTTAGCTTCAAAGACTAGTTTGGGATAGATTAAAAAATAGTCTTTGTGGATTACTTCAAAGAGTCATGTCATAGCATAACTTCTTGTATAAAAAGAACTGACCATTATGTATGTAAGTTGAACTAACAGTACTTTATAGTTCATTGTATCCAAAATGATTTTCAATAAATTAATTTTTTGTTATTGTCTTTAGTAAGATTTTCAGCCATTCCAGACATTCAGTTTAACATCTGAGTTGGCTACACCACTAAGATATTTGGAATGGTAAAAAATCAGTCTTGTTGTCTAATGCAAAATGTTTCTAAATTTCAACAGGCCATACTAGACCATCAAGAGCATTTATCAACAGCTGTAGAGAGGCCAGAACAAAGTAGTAACGTGGAAGAAAAAGGGAAAAATATGATCAAAGCAGAAGACTTACAGATCTCAGAAGCTGGCATTACTACTCTGTCACAAGATAAACCAGAAGAAATTGCTGATTGTCAGGAACTTACCAGGTATTTCACATTAACTTTGTCTTAAATACATCTAACTGGTCTGAATGTCTGAAGTGTGCCCTGACCATTGGATGTTTCTTGTAGACTTTCTTTAGGAGCAGTGTATTTGGACTCATTGGCTTCGTCCTCTGTTTCTCTTAAACATATTGAATGATTCAGTGCCAATGGGACTTGATTTGACTCTGCTAGACAAACTTTGCCACACAAACCCAACTGGATCCCCAGCGCATTTTGAACATGGCAGTGTTGTAACTGTTTTTCCAACAGAAAGAGTGCTATGTAATGCAGATTAAAGAATTCCTGTGCATTGTGACACTGTGGATGCATGACACTGCTTCCTTACAACAGATATTTCTTGGCCTTTTTTACTGTCTATGAACAAGTGAATGAGACTGTGGTAGCTTGACCTTGGCTGGCCACCATGAGCCCACCAAGCCACTTTCTCACTTTTCTCCCCATCCTTAGCAGGAGAGAATAAGATTAAAAACTTCTGGGTTGAGGTAAAGGCAGTTTAATGAAAATAAGCAAGGGCTTTTGTGGAAGCAAAACAAAAGGAGGGGAAAAAATATTTATTTTCTATTTCACATCAGCAGGCAATGTCCAGCCACTTCCTGGGCAATAAGGCCTCAGTAGGTATAGTAGTTGCTTCAGAAGACAAATGCCTTAATAACAAGTGTGTGTCCCCCTCTACCTGCTTCGTCCTTTCTCTTAGCTGTTACCACTGAGCAGAGCATGATATGGTATGGAATATCCCTTGGGTCAGTTGGGGTCAGCTGTCCCTGCTATGTCCCATCCCAATGTCTTGCCCCCTCCCAGCCTACTGACCTTTGGGGCTGGGGAGAATGGAGAGGCAGCCTTGGTGCTGTGTGAGCACTGCTCAGCAACAGCCCAGCCAGTGGTGTGTTACCAGCACCGCTCGAGCTACAAATGCAAAGCACAGCACTGTACGGGCTGCTGCAGGGCAAGGGAACTGCACCCCAGCCAGACCCAGTGCAGAGACGCTCAGCTAATGTTCCTCCATTCAATTCTGTTCCCTCTTATGTTCTAATGTGGTTCTTAGGTAATGGGTTTGAGTGGAACATGAGCTGTAATATGTTGGTGCTTATCACTCTAGCATTCTGATGAATTTGAAAGAATTTGCTTAGAAAAATGCATTGTCTCCTTTGAGCTTTCTGTTCCCTGCAAGGTCTGTTAATTTTTTATTTGTACAGACAGCCATAAAACCTGGGGTATACTCTCACTTATGTAAATTATATCACAGGTGCAAAAACCTTATCAGATACCTTTTTTCAGGAAAGATTCCAGTTGGAGCATATGGATTTTTTCTTGTGGGTCAGATTTTGTCAGAGCTATTTTTTATGACCTTACTGATAAATTCAAGTCCGTATTCAAATACAGGCAACAATGCATATTTCTGGTTTCTCATAGCTTAAAATGAGCATGTGCAATTGCAGTGTCCCTCTTTGAAGTCAAAACTTAACTTAGCTTTCTGAATTTAAAAACTCTGTTTTTACATACATTTCAGAACCAGTGAGAGTGATTCCAACACATACCTCCGAAAAAGATCTCCTAATACTACTGAGGAGGTAAGTATGTGGAAATTTACCTATCACTGTTTCTGTTTCTCTTAAACTGCAAAAGTTTTCATACTGTAAAAGGGTCTACTTTATAGATAAGCTCTGTGATAATACAAAAGATCTATAGATCTATATGAATGAGGTGAGTTTTATTCAACTGAATAAAAGCTGTTGAAAGAAAAAAATAAAATATTTTTTCAATTTTTGTTCTTTTCTGTGTGTATACCTGACTGCAGTGGTGGATATGCAGGTAGGGAGTAAATTTCTAAGCATAGTTTTATTTTATCTGAGCAAATGTTAGACATACTCTGGATAGAATACACACACAGCTTCCCTGTTTGCAAGATGCTCAGTTTTATTTGTTTATATGATCTATTTCTGATGTGTTTGTTTGTTTAAGGAAACTTATGTTGAAAATGAGAAGATGACAGACATGGGTGAAAATCCATTAATCATCAGGTGAGTTGTTCTTATTCAGACAAAACCTTTTGCAAGGAATTCATAACTCCTAGGTACTTCTAACAATGCTACAAGGGGAAATAAAACTTAACTGTAATAGGGGATACTGACTGGACATTGTGTGTAATTACTCAGAGTGCATATTCCACATAGGTGCAAAATAGAAAAATGCTTTATTGTTCAGACTCCCCCTTGACTAAAAAGCTTTTTCTGGACTTGAAAGATTCTGCTGCCTAAGCAAGACTGTGAGCACCTTCCCCACATAGTGGATATTTCAGCCCAAGAAAAGAGTGGGAAGGCTTCAAATATGAGGCCTTCCAGCCTCTTCCAGGTGTGGAAGACTGTCAAGACAATATTTAGTGTGGATAATACCAAGGAAAAATGCTTCAATGGAGTCCTGGTCTCTGTTAGAACACCCACAAGTTTGTATAATTTGTATATGGGTTTAGTTTAGACTTAAGGTCTTGTGATGGATCCAAACTCACAGTGTGCATTCCTTTGGCATTAGGGTCTATGATATACGAAACAAGGACTGCTTTGCTTCTTTTCTTTTCTGTTGATAGTGAATAGTACCTTCCAGAACTTCTAGTAAAAATGATGGTTGTATTTAAATGCAGAAAAGACAGAAAGTATTATCAGGATCTAGTGTCCTATTCTCACACTTCTATTAAAAAACATGAATGGCTGTCACAGTTATGCCTGTTTGCAGACTGCTGATGTTGTGCAAGTTTTGTGTAATACTGAGGATAATATCTGAGCAAGTAGGATGCCCCAAGTCAGAAAAAGCACACATTAAAACAGACCAATCAACAGTTTTCTCCAAAAATAGATTAAAAAGAAAGCCTACCAGGAGGTAATTTATACAGTATTATTAAATGAGTATCATCTTGCATCTTTTTAAAATAAGACCTTTTCTTGTCTTTGTGAGTGATCAGTGGTGCTGGCAGAGTCTATTGGGCTTTGTCCTTATGAACCAACGAAAGCTGGAATTCTGAAAAGTTTACATTTTGAAGTTGTCCTACGAAACCCCTACTGCTACTTGGTTTCTGGACTTTTTCCTGGGCTTTTTCTGTGCAATATTCTGGTGTTGGACATGAGAAGCTCTGAAAGTAGGTAATTTGGGGAAAGTATATCAAGTCAGGTAGAGTGTGTAAGTGAAATTGTGCAAGTGTGGTATGTGTTGCCCAAAGCTATGTTTGCTGTTACCCTATATTTTAATATCTTTTTGACTGATGGAAATAATCTTGCATCAAAGGAACGTACTGGCATGTACTTAAACTACCTGAGAATTTCTGAAGAGTTTTCAGAGGACTAATTGCTACATATGCTCACTCTAAGGAAGCACACTGCTGAAGAGCTGCTGTCTTTTAGTCTGCCCTCTGATCCTTATAGTAGATATTAACAGTGAAGGTTTTTTTCTTCTTTTTCATGTATCTTAACAAATTCTCCTGTTTTCAGGAAGAAAAAGGACTTAGAGGCAAGTGAGACTCCAGCACCAACTCATGAGATTGTGATTGTTGAGCAGCCAGAGCTATTCTACTTCATCCTTTTCTTCTGGGTGCTGGTTTACTGCCTCTTACTCATTCCACAGTTTCGCAGCAACAAAGCTTGATCACTCTGAGGTGTGGAAAAATAAAAGGACGGTGGCTGGATTGCTTTGTGTATCTGCAAATGAATATGTTCCTTCAGGTGAAGCACAAACAGAAATGTAGGACCTGGCATTTGGATTTACTATCAGGTTATCCTCAGTTCCTCTACTGTTGTGCTATGACAGTGTCTAAGCACATTTTATATTATGGTAATTGTGTAAATATATATAAAAATGACCTGATTTAGTAGACACAATTTTGTACATTTGTGCCTTGCTTTATAAGATGCTAAATAAAACCAGATAATTATCAGTAGAAATAGGAACAGTTCAGAGCTCTAGTCTTCAAAAATTATTCTTCTGGCTTCATTTTCTTAAGTAGGGCCTGACAGCTGTGGAACAGGGGTGGTGTTGACTTGCCTATGAACCTGGCCCCCTGGCAAGGGCAAGGCTAGAAATGCTTTTTCATGTTCTCCATGGAACCTTTTAAGAGAGCTGGAGGCAGGCCAGAGCTACAGGTGGTGGAATATGCTTACCCCAGGAATTTCTTACCATTCAAATGGCAATACAGTGGAGCAACAAAATCAGTTTGAGGATTTATTTGGGCAGGGGAGTTTGTTTTTTTAGGATTTTAATTAATTTTTATCCTGCACCTTTTGTTATGTTTAATTTGTAGAAATAAATTTGGTGTGGAGAAGTGTGAAGAACACACATGTTAGCTGCTTCTTAGGAGGGATTATATGGGAAATCTTAGTCCAGGAACTTCTGTAGTGAATACCAGAAGAAATACACTTTTTGTATCTTACTGATGGTGGCTGTCTTTGAAAAGATCTTCAAGAAATGTAATAATTTTACCAGGAAGAGATAGCATGGCTTGGGGATTTTTTAATTACTTTTTTTTTAAAAAAAGCACCTCACTGCTTCTGCGGCTGCTTCTGCTGCTTTTACTTACCAGATCATATGAAGATTTCTCAATAATAGGTAGCCTAATGCTGAAGTTACTGTTAAGGCACAAGTGCGTGGTAAAAAGATTAGAAATATTCTTTAAGGACCCAAATCAATAAAGAAATGACAGGTGGAAAATGAAATGCAGAGAAATGACAGCTGGTGGTGACTTTCTAGTGCAACTGAAGAATTGTCTGTAGCTTGTCTGTAGACACAGTTGAGTCACTTCTGTATCTTCTAATTTTTGTCCACATCAGTGATCACTTTAGGATATCTGATTTAGGATTTTTGCCAGTTTCACCCATGTCTTACAGAAGGACAATTCAATTTAACAGCAGTAACTTTTTCTCTGTGTGACTTTTAGGAAAGCCACTATTTTTCATCAGCACATTTTTAGTTTCCTAGTGTGCTTTATGCGACTATGTCATGTTGCTGCTTCCACTAGAAAATTCATAAGGTTGACTGCAATGTGCTTCATAAAACGAGGAGCTTCATAATTTACGTTGAGTGAAAGTTACATGTGGCTGTCAGTTTTACTTACTTTGTTTTAGCATATGTTGTATCTCTGCCCTGGCTTAGTTTTCAGTTGAACTAATAGTGCCTGGTATCAGGACACCTCAGGATATACAGCAATTTATTTGTAGGTATTTAAAACCTTTTTTTTGTCATGTCATCTGCTGGGGTAATCCTAACCATCCATCGCACTTCATTCTTCTTTACAAGTTTTCTGTTCCCCTGAGATTTTTCTTCTGAGCTGTTGTTGGAATTCAATAGCAGCAGTGCATGGCAGGAGATCTTAAACACTGAAGGTAAAAATCTGACTCTTTCAGTCAACAGAAAGCTGAAATCTTTTCTCTCTTGTCCTTTCATACTTGATTAAAGCTGGATTCACCCCAGGAACCTAAATGTAAGATTCTTTGTCCTTGGTGAGGAACAGATACAGATTTCCTAACTTAATTCTATGTAAATCACTGTAAGGAAAATAGTCTTTGTGGGAAACTGTTCTCTTCTTCCCCACATAGGGGAAGCCCCCCAGTACCAGTTTGCGACAGCCCTTCATCTTGCTGATGAAAACATTCAGCATTTTGAATCATCTGATTTTGTTATGCATGAACCTGTTTGTACTGGTTGATGAAGAAACTGATACCTTCTTCCAAAAGAAAACCTATGCTGGAATATTTTAAGATGCTTTCTTGAAGTAGGTTAAAATATAACATTGAAGAGCTGGTGCTTTTTCTCTGACAGAATAAAACTTAATATGAGAAATTTTATATCCTTATCTTGAAAACCAGTGAATGGGGTATGGCAGCTATTTAACAGCAGCAAGTAGCAATGTACATTAGTTTGGAGTAGAAGTGTTGAAAGCTCTTCATTATATCCCACTCTTCCTAGGCTCCTAGGTTTATGACAACATTTTTTGAGCTTTTGTATCTTACTCTCTGGTTCTTCCATATAACTTAGTCTTCAGCAAAGATTATCTGGAATTGGATTACAGTCTCTTCATAGCTCTTTACACCTGTCAAAGTTTATTCCAATAAAATAAGCTCCCTTTTTGTCTTCCTCCTCACAAAAAAAAATAATCAGAATGAGGAGGTCTTCACATGTCTCATCTAAACAACTGACATCTGTAAGCAATATGGGGTGGAAATGCACTGACGCTGGCAACTTCATTATAAGGTATTTTCTTGCATAAGAGAGAAAAACCAGAGTTTTCTTTCTTGCTTTCCACTAATGAACAGTTACTGAAACAGTGAAATGAGCAGCTTAAATGTCAAACGGCATCCACCGTCTTGATCATCTCAGTGTTTAAACTGATGTACACTTCCCAGCCTATCCCATTAAGAGATGGAGATTGTTTTCTTCCATGCAAAACAGATGAAAAAACCCTCTAAATTAGTCCATGATACCTGGCATTAAGTTGCTTTCCATATTTGGGTGTGGTTTTGATATAAGAGAAGCAGTCTACCTTAGCCATTCCATGGGTAAGACGATCCAGGGTAAAGCGTTAAGAGAGATGATCCTGGCATGGTCAATGGTGCATGGAAAGAGATGGAACTCTTCAGGAGTTTTGCCATTATATGGAACTGCAGAAAAGGACATCTGCATAGACAGCAGCTACCCCCACTTGACTTGACTTGCAAGCCTCTATCTCTTCTTCCACAGTGCAAGATCCAGTCCCTCAGTGCAAGTAACTTATTCTGAAAACATTGCTTGTTGTTGGACTTTGTGTCCTATTCTGAGCTTACAGGCTAAAAGTCTGGTTGTGAAGCATTCACTAAGGCAAAATCTGTTCTAACTTGCTGGCTGGAGGACTGGCTTGAGGCAGTGGAGGGTTTAAAGGCCAGTGCGCAATCTGTCATCATAATTTTCCAACAGATAAGTCCTGTTTGAATAAAGGAAATTTTTCCTGAAATTTTTACTAGGTTTTTGAAAAATGCTAAGCTTGAACTGACCATATTTAGCAATTTGATTTAGCAGCAGAATTGAAATATGCAAGGGAACCAATCTGTTAAGACCATTTCTGAAACTCATTGTCCTTGGGAGAATGTGTGGATAGCACAGTATTGTGAAGTGTAAGTGTCAGGAAGAGCTCGAGAATCACTGGATGAAGGATGTTTGGTGTTCACAGAAGCAGCATTAAAGACTGAGAGACAGCTATGATAGGATGGTTCAATGTTACTGTAGTCATGTAACAACTGCAAAGTGTTTTGTTGTGATTTTATAGAAAGTGCAAGGAAAGAGATGCTATTAAAGAAAGAACCCCACTAAACATTTATGGGGCAGATGGTTTAGAGTTGAAGAAATGAGTTAAAACAGTTTACAAACTGAATTATATATAGCCTGTGCCAAACTAGGAAATTTCCAGTGCAAAGATAGGGCAAGCACAAGGGTACAGTAAAAAAAATGACAATCACTTTTCAATGCCATGAATGTTTTTGATGGATTGAGCTCTAAAATGTATTTTTATTGAGTTTCTAGATTGTATTGAATGTGTCTACAGAATTTTATGCAAAGCTTGAGAGTTCAGCTGTTTTAAAATGATTTTTTTATATAGCAGTGATTATTTTATCTATATATTTAATAGAAATGTAAAACCATTTTAAGAGTACCTGTAAAATTCTATGTATGTGATATGATTATTTATTAATTATTATTAATGAGAATGAACATGAAGCTATGCATCAGTCGTCATCCATCTGAAAACTGGAAGCTGCAAACAGGAGAAGAGTTCTTAATGCACGGAAGACTTGAAAAACATCGGAAATGATTGAATACAATTGTGTGATACTTAAAGCTGCATAGCAAGATGTCATTTTGTGATGTTAAACTTTCAGCTAAAGTTGCAAAATATACTGAGTGATTAAGCTACTTTCTTCCATTAAAACTTCCTGAGGCTGAAATTTCTACATGTTGATATTTGGTGTCTAAATACACTTAATTCCTGTACATCTTCTGGAGGCACGCAATTTACTCCAGCTCAGTTAGACTGTAACTTCTTTATCCAAGTAGTGCTCCATTGAGTTTACAGGGGTACCATTCAATACCTAGGGGCTTTTTTGGTTTTTACACACCATTCCCCACAGAGTCAGAGCTTTAGAAGATTAATTTGACCAGTGTATGTGGTATCATATTCAGCCATCTAAGAATAGTGCACTGTCACTTTTGCTAGCTTTAAGTACTTGGAGTCCCTTCTTGCCAAATGCAAACTTGAATGCAGCCAGTGATGTGTTCAGTTCCTCAACTTCTGTGGAAGTCAATGCAACGTGTCTGTGTGCTAAGCACACACTAAAGGATTGGGCCCTGAGGGGACCTAAATCAAGGTTAATCGCTTAGGCCAAGGGAGTAGCTGAAGCCTGTGCATTGCCCTTAGGCTGGATCCCCTCAAATCCAACCTACACAAACAATCCCACAGCCTTCAGTTAACCACTCTGTGCATATAGTATTTGTTTGCATAAAATCTGCAGGATCAATCCCCTCTTCTTTCTGGGAAGTTAACATCCATGTCTGTTTTTTATTTAAGAGACCAGCAGTGGGGAACAAGTGTCTGGAAGACAAGAGTGAGGTTACAGGCTGGAATG